TATCCTCGGATAGCTTTTGACCTGAGTGAACCTTAACATTGTGTTGTTGGCCCATGTTTTAAATGCACATCTAACTGGCTCCATGGCCTCAACTGAGTAGCCTTGAAGAAAAGCATAGGTAAGGCGATACTTAGAGTCTTAGACGCTGGCCATTTTGGGTTTCTTGGGAAGTAAAAATATTGAGAAACTGTGAGTCCTCTGGCGTAGTGGTGAAGCTGATGTTGCATGCGTGCTGGTGCATGTGCAGTTTCTTTCCAGATGATATCATGGAGGTGGTGCCATTGATGATATCTGGCACACCACATCGAGGCAGCATCATACTTGATACATTTTCACCATCCAACGTTCCGGTGGCCTCGATGTTGTAAGTGATTTGGTAAGTTATGATGGCCGTCTCCAATTCATCGTCAAAATTAGCATCATTGTTTGACTGGCCATTCAAGTAACCAAAATTTTGAAGGTAGGTTTTGAGGTTTTGGATGCCTTCAACTTTGTCACCCTTTTGAAACCCCTTAAGATGGGCAAGAAACTCAAATGATGTTTCTGTATTGCAGTTTCTTGACGATGATGCATTTGAGAGGAGAGGAAAGAGGATGAAGAGGATGAGGGTAGTGATTATGAAGCAACAAAAATGAAATTTTGAAGATGCCATTGCCATTTCCATTGATGCTAGCTATAGTAGCAAAAAATGCTTTTGGTTTCAAATATGTTGTGGAAAAGCCTTATACGTGGAGAAAAATTCATGCCAAATTTTGTGAAAGATCAAGTTCGGCTCGTACAAAAATGGCTTTGGCTAGTAGTGGAAAATTTTGAATCAAGAGTTAAGAAAATGGAGAGATGTGTTGGTAAAAGCGAGAGACAACGTTTGAAGCGGCGAAAATCTTGCCAAAGAGGTAAATTATTTGTAATTGCCGTTTTATTAAATTTAATGTTCTTTTTTTAAATAAAAAAAATTCTTGCAATTTTTTTTTATATTATAGATTACGCAAGCACAAATGTGGTTCATTGCCATTGGCCAAGGCAAAAAATCTTTCAACAATCACCAATGTTGGGAGGTGGTGAAAAATTATTCGAGATTCAAAATTATTCCCACGGGTTCGACTGTTGTGTTGAATGAGACGCCGCTCCACGATTCAACGACATCAGATTCGCCTTTAGATTCCCCAAATTTGGGATAAAATAATCTTCCAAAAAATTATTACCCTGAGAATGCCTACGTCTGTCTACGTTCGGGCCATGGTTAACTTGTGAACCACGGTGGCAGACTTGGCTTGATAAATTAATAGAGCATACCCACTGCCATAGCAACTTAATCATCATCTTCTTCCTCATCCCTTTCTTCTTCAGCTCATTTGTGCCTTCTTTTTTCAATTTCTTGCTATTGCCTCTCCAAGCACCTCCTCGTGTAGGACATTGAGAGTGGAATGTGTTTTCTAAAATTTGAGAAATCAAAGGACAGAGAGGATATGGTGTGAGATGTCTGAATTGAGGCTCTGGTTTTATATAAGGATTTAGAAGATAGAGATAACATGTAACGCAATTTTAATAGGGTGAAAATTTTATCTAAAATCTGAGATTTGTATTTTATAATAAATATCGACATGTGGCAACCGAGAATCTTATCTGGAATTTGATATGTGAATTTTATGATAAATATGGACATGTGTCAACCAAAAATCTTATCCGAAATATGATATGTGAATTTTATAATAAATATTGACACGTGGCAACCGAAAATCTTATCCAAATTAATTGTTTAAGTAAAATAAATAAATAAATAAAAGTAAATAGTATTTGGCCTTTGGCATGACAATGGATGGAAACACAACAAGCCTTTTGCAAGGGCTAGCACTATTCACATAAATAGTAATAGCCATTGCCTCCCCTTACCCTTTGACATAGCAAATAGGTGGAAGTGCTCTAAGGCAACTGTTTTCCATGCTTGGACTTACCAAACATGGAAAAACAATTGATTTCCCATGGTTGAGGACAAAAAAGTCCAAAGCTGGGCCCAAAAATATATTTCTAGCCAAGTACGACACCTAACTTAGGAAGAAACTCGACTTGGGCACACAAGAGTTAGTCATATGCACTTGCACATGTGTCACGCCAAGCAAATAAGCAACACGCCACGCTACAAGCTTAAGTGGGCCCAAGCCACGCGAATGTCTGGCGCTTGCTGAGCGGATTGTGGTATGGATGGCTACGAGTATTCACAAGGCCCATTGATGGTCCAAAGAGTAAAATTTTTGGGCTGCTTGGGAGCATCAAAACTCAAGCCCATTCCTTGAGCCCAAACATATGGGTAAGCATGAGAGAGATAACCCAATAGCCTATGACCTCAAGAAAATGCCCAAACATCTTAGAAAATATCCAATAGTCATAGCCCACAACACTTGGAAATATCCCACATCAGTCAAAATATCCAGCACTTTGTCAAAACCAAGGCAAACCCATATACACAGGTTACTGGAAGTAAATCACCTTTTGACCAATACCCTTACCCATTCTTTCCTCTACAAGCTTTGTGAGAAAACAAGAAGGAAAATGGAGTGGCGCTTTACCCACATGGAGCACATGGAGAAGTCCAGTTGCGTGAAGGTCTTGAAACTCCAAAAAGCTTTGTGCCTACATGCTCAGGCTGGGAAAGTTTCACCAAATAAGATGGAATGGAAGAAAGTGAAGGAAAATGGGAAAATGTGGCTTGATAAAATTGAGTGTTCCAACACCTATAAAAGTAGGCACCTTCTACCTAGCAAACGAACTGATCCAGAGCAAGCAACATCCTTACTCATTGTTGGGAGGCCCAATTTCATGCTATGTTCTTCCATCTTCTTCCTCTCTTTCCCATAAACACATCCAGAGATAGCAAGTATCACCTCTCACCTCTGAAACCTTTCAATTTCAAGCCATGTTCTTCCATTGCTTCTATTTTTCTCTTCTGTCAAGCCACCCAGGAGCCTGATGAAGCTTTCATCAAGCTGCTGGAAATCTGCTAAAGCCACACATGCTTCCATCTTCTTCCTCTCTTTCCCATATACACATCCAGAGAGAGCAAGCATCACCTCTCTCCTCTAGAACCCTTTGATTTCAAGCCATGTTCTTCCATTGTTTCCCTTTTTCTCTTTTGTCAAGCCACTCAAGAGCTTGACGAAACTTTCGTCAAGCTGCCGGAAACTTGCTCAAGCCACTTATTCCTCTTCCCTCATCTCTTCCTCTCTCCCCTCAACAAATTCTCCCCAAAACTCTCTCTTCCCCTTATCTGAACCTCTATTTCTCATAGAAAACCCCAGCCTTCTCTCTCTCTCATGCTAAACTCATGAATGCTCAGCTCTCATGCCACAAGCTTCTCATGTCAAGCCATAATATTTATTTGTAAGCAACTGTTCGTTTTGTTGGTGAAGTAAGCCAAGGTGTTTCCTAAGGCTCAACAAACCTTTTGAAGCACTCTTAGAGCCTGATTCTTGAACTCATACACAGGGGCAATTCCATCCATTTGCTCCTTACAGTAGTGCAGACCCATCTATAGCTGCCAGAACGAAAAAGCCCCTACACCCATCCTTAAGCCTCATTTCCAATGAACCAAAAGGAGCAAAAAAGAATTAGAACACCTAATTGAAGAAAGAAGTCATTAGCTAGTTACTTAATATTTTCTAGAGGAGATCCCGAGCCTCTGCATTTAGAGATTGTGCATTTATTCGCATTTCATAAAATCTAGACCATCCAAATGATTCAGTGCTTAAGAGTATGCACATAATCCATTTGATATATTTATAATTTTCTTTCAAAACGCCTACCCATGTCTCTCTCAATTCTTCCTCTTTGTCTTTGTATTTTGGTATTTCTTTCTTTCTTTTTTCTTTTGGCTTCTTCTTCTACTTTAATGTGTGTCAATCGAATATGGTTATTGTAACCCTAACATTGAAGAAAATTAAACTAAAATCAATTGGGTATTTTCTTGATCAATTTGGGCTTTTCTTGATGACTAACCTACAAATTTTAGATTAGCAACTTGCAATAACTTTGGGCTTTTCTCGATGACTACAACAACTTGCAGAATGGAAGATTTTTTAATTTCTCAAATTAAGGTTTTTATTTATTTATTTAAAGACATGGATGTATTCTAGCTATTTTAGGCTTTTTAACAAATCATAATTAACAGTCCCGATCTCTTGGACTACAGGGGTCTAAGAGATTTGTGGTCACTCACCGTTAGATTAACATCCAACGGTTCAAAAAAAATTCTTAAAAAGAGTGCAAGAGTGAATGAACTGTTGAATTTACATACAACGATGGGTGACCACAAATCTCTTGGACCCCTGTAGTCCAAGAGATCGGAAAGAAAAACAAGATTATTAGCCAAAATCCGTTCATATTGTAACAAAAAAAGGAGTGAGGACAACATGAGAAAGTAGATGAATGAGCGAGTTGAGAGGGAGGAGGAAGATACAAGTAACGACGTCAGTTTTATATAAAAAGGAAATAAACTTATTGTAGGCGATGTGGCATTCTCATAAGCATTGGATTAGTTGAATGGTCTGGATTTTATGAAATGCGGGTAAATGCACTGTCTCTAAATGCAGATGGTCAAAATGAGGGTTTTTTTACACACACGATCAAGATGTCATAAGAATTCAAACTTTAGGGTGTGAAAATGTTTTTGATAGTGCTAAAAGTGTTTTATGACAATCAAAAGCGCTTTTGAGAAGGTTTGATAAATTTTAGAAATGTTTTTGAGTCGTAGAAGCACTGCACTTAGATTTCTTATAAAAATTTCAATATCTTTATTTATAATAAAATATTCTTGTTAAAAACGCTTATAAACAGAAGTGATTCCTAGATAAACAATTCCAAACGAAAAACAATCCCAAATGAGCCATTATTGTGTTATCTTTGTACCCGGTTGTCCGGTCAAATCAAATGCCCCAACCAGAAGGCAAACTGTAGCATATAGACTCTCCAGAAGCAATGGACCATCAAATGGGAAATAAATGAAAAAAAATTCAATCCAACGGTCATCAGCATCCATACCCATAGATGAAATGCAAGTTGGGTTCAACGGACTCGTCACTCCATAGACCCCGCCGAGAAAATTCTCTCCTTCCTCGGACCCTTTGCTGGGTCTGAGAGACTCCATTCGGATCCATCCGACCGTCACTGACCTTTGGAAAAGTATCAACGTCCTTAAACTCAAACCTCCAGAGGCCCCAACCAAACCATCTCCAACCAGCAACCAGCAAACATGGCCGATCACGACCACAACCACCACCACCACCAGCACAGGCCTCACCGCCTCTCACTCCCTCAACGCCCCACCACCTTCGCCGCTACACCTACCGCTTTCCCCACCACACCCACCACGTCTAGACAATACCCTGTTTACCCTTTCTCATCGTCTTCAACCCCAATCGCAACTCCGTCCAAACATCGCCTCTCTTCTCTCAACCCCAAACCATTCAACCCCAACAACAACAGCAAGTCCTCTCTTTCATTTCTCTTCTTCCTCCTTCTCTCTCTTCGCTCCCTTTATTCCCTGCTTCCGTTTCTTCGCTCCTCCCCTTCTTTCTCTCTCTTCCCCTTCTCTTTCCTTGTCTCTCTCCTGTCTTTCCTGCTAACCCTCTCTTGCTCCCTCTTCACCTCCTCCTCCTCTTCTTCCAAAGACCCGTTTCACCAAAAGCAAAACCAACCCATCTTCTCTTTCACCCTGATCACGCAATCCCAGCACAGACTCTTGGTCGCCAAATCGATTCTTCTCGCCGTCGTCTTCCTGCTTCGTTTTCAGGCGCTTCGATATTGCGGCGCCGCCGCCATGATTCTCGCTGAATTGTCCGGAAACGTTGCCGCACGGTTCCTGGCCGAGGGCTGGGACTCGAATCTCGGTGGCGATCGGAATCGGTCCTCCAAGGTTCGTGGGTTCCTCGCTCTGTTTTCTGGGTTGCTTTTGTTATCTTTGAGTTGGGATCGGATTGAATGCTTCCCATTTTCTGCTAAGTCGGTTGAAAGTTTGGGACTTTCGGTGTTTCCAAGAGTGGATTGTGTTAGAATTTGGCCAATGTTGCTTCCATTTCTATCTGGGTTTTTGGGGTGTTACGAGCGTGTTTCGATGAATTGGGGGACAATTAGGCAATTAGGTCGGAAGAGGGTTCGTTTAATTTCATTGTTCTTTACAACTG